TTCCCTATTTTTCCAGTTTTGGGTGTGGTATTTTTCCATGACAAAATAGATGGAGTGAAGGTTATCTCCATGGTGTTGGCTATTTGGGGCATTGTTTCTTATGTCTATCAGCAATATCTGGATGAATCTAAGCATGAGAATGATTCCAGAATTGCTAATTAATGAAGTTTCCGAATCTTTCCTTTTCTGGCCTTCAAGAAAAGTATGGTGGATATACCATACCCTATTGTAAGGAAAATATATTAATGAAATTGGACTAATTATTTCAAATCTTCATTAAGCTATAATATAGTGAAAAAATTGATCATCCACCACACATCTCGCATCCTAGACGTCCTAGTCAGCACTCCTTCTCTGCCACGTGTGCATCAAATTCTACAGATTTTTAAAACTATACACTCTTGGTGGGTCCATAGAATCTGATGAGGATGATGTGTCATTTTCATGCTCCTTATAATTCTCTTCCCTGCTTGACTTTTTGGGGGCATTTGGATCATATAATGGTTTATTATAGGAGAATATTATATTAACGGAATAAATGATCACCTTGAAGACTACTAGGAATGTTTAGAAAATGTGTTTGGTTGGTTCAAATAAATTGGTGAATAATATGTTTGGTTGGAAGGATAAATAAGTGGGTATGTTAATTGCCCTCATTTTTAAATATTAAGTAACAATATTTTTTTTTAATTTTCTTTTGAATAATTTTTTTAATCCCCTACTTTTCAGATTTAGCAAAAACACCTTCGCAACCAAAAACATTTTAAGCTTAACAAAAACACCCCTACCCACCCCAAGCCACTGCCGGCAGCCAGCCACCATCGCTAGTGGCTACTGGTAGTGCCACAGATGTGGCCGTGACGCCTACAGTGCCACAGATTAGGTTGTTTCACGGCTAGATTTATGGTCGTTTCGCGACCATAAATGTGGCCATGAAACACCGGCAAGTTCATGGCCAAAAACCTGATTGTCTCACTGCTAGATCAGTCGCCGTTTCATGGCCACATATTTGGTCGTGAAAATAGCCAGATATGGCCTTTTTCAACTATGGATCTGTGATCCATGATCGAAAAAAGCCTCACCAGCACATGGCCGGCCCATGGCCGGCCATATACGGTCAGTTCTATGCCATTATGGTGACTTTTGGCAGCCTCCGGCAGTGATCAATAGTGGCTGGCGGTGGTGGCTAGTTTTGGGTATAATGACATTTATGTAAATAATGACAATAACAAGGGCAATGTTGTTTGAAAAATTTTAAAAACGAGGAAAAAAGTGTCTACATGAATGAATTGAGTGTTTTGTAAATGTTAACAAATATAAGGTTAATTTGGACCAAATGCTTAACTGTTTAGGGGCAACATGGGGAACAAAATTGTATTACTAGGGTAAGTTTTAATAACAGAAAGCATCTGATCAAGCTTCTGTATCTGCTTTCATCGACCTTGCGACCTCTATCTTCCTTACTTCTAGTTTTGTACTAGTGGAGTGCTCATTGAATTACAACTCTCCATGCTAAACTTCTTCAAGATCTCATTTGCATATTTTTTTTGGCAGACAAATATGCCATTTGGAGATTTGGTGTATCTCCATCCCAAGGAAGAAGGTCATCTCTCTCAAGTCTGTCATCTCGAACTCCTTATGATTGCTTTCTTGAATTGCTCTATCCTATCAGGGTTGTTTTCAATTCCTAGCAAGTCATTGACATATAAAAAGACTATGATCAGATCGTCATCTGAATTCTTAACATAGATAGTGTGTTCATTGTGGCTTATTACATAACCAAACTTGCTTAAATACTCATTTATTCGGCTATACCAAGCTCACGGAGCCTGCTTCAGACTGTGCAAAGCCTTCTTTAAGAGATAGACTTTGTCATTTTCCCCTTCAACTGTAGAGCCCTCTAGTCGCTCCACATAAATTTCTTCGTCCAAGTAGCCATTCAAGAAGGCTGACTTGACATCTAACTGGTATATCTTCCACTTAAACTGAGTTGTTAGTGCGATGAGAAGTCTGATTGTGTTATGTCTTGCAACTAGAGCAAACGTATCTGAGAAATCTACTCTATATTGTTGAGCGTTGCCCTTGGCTATAAGTCGAGCTTTGTATTTTTTGACTAATCCATTAGGATTTAATTTTGTCTTGAAGATCCATTTGATTTGTATGATCTTCTAAGCTGATGACCGGTTAACCAACTTCTAGGTTTAATTTTTTTTTTTTATCATATTCAGCTCCTCCTTCATCGCAACTTTCCATTCTTTTGACTTCAGAGCTTCAGTATAGCTCATAGGCTCCNGGCTTGGAAACAAGCATCATTCCTCGATGATCGGAACGGTGAAGAAAATATGAATTGGCAGCTTCAGGCTTGCCTCCATTCGAAGGTTGCTGTTCTATCATGATAATGAGAAACGACAAAAAGAAAGGGGGCAGAGGCAGAGAGCTAGGGTATCGTTCCCTGCTCTGATACCATGTAAAGAAGGAAAAATAATATTTGCCTTTGAATGATTTTATTGAACTGGGAGACGTAGCTTTATACAAGAGATTTCCTACAATCATGCTAATCTATTCTAGGTATTCTAAGTATAAAAGGCAACTAAACAAATATACAACTAATACAATATATTTTTCAATGAATGGCCAGATATCATTGACCTTCCCTTCTCAACATCTCAGCCCTTAACCGACTCTATTATGGTTGAGCGAGATGGTTTTAGATTTCATGTGGAGGTACACTATGAGAAACTACCTTTCGTTTGAGATTACTGTGGAATTGTTGGACACTCAAGTTCTTCTTGTCGTCATAATAAAAATAACAAGAGCTCAGATATTGCTTCCAAACCAAAGCATTTTATCACCCGATTAGAAACCTTAACTCTGATCCCAGTGTTAAACTTTCGGTTTCCAACTGATGATGTTTTGAAACGCAGAGCGGTAGAGGTATTTTCCTAGTATCCACCTGTCTCTCCCCCATGTTTTCATTCACTGCTTGTTTACGAAGCGATGTTGGGATTTGGATAATGAATTTATTCCAAACTTCTTATCAATCTCTCTTCCATGGATGGGTTTTGGAGCTCAATTTTCTCTAAAAGGTTTTCCAAGCAAATCTTCAATCTCTGGATCGTTGGTTGCCTGATGACTTGTAACAATATTTGGAAAGCTCGTAATAAACTGCGGTCTAACAATATTCAACCTTCTATTCATCAATTTTTCTCCCATTCTCAAGTAACATTGAGAAAATTGGGTTCCTTTTTGCCTGGATTCATCTTCCTGAGTACGGACTGTTCTATTCTTTCTAAAATTGACATCCCCATCCACTTGCGCAAGGCGCCAAAAATTATTGATGTAATTTGGAAAAAAGCCATTTTCTACTTGGGTAAAAATCCATACAGATGGACTTTCAAAGGGTAATCCAAGTTTAGCTGCGGCAGGTGGCATTTTCCGAGATCATCTGGGAGTTTGTCATGGCTGCTTTGCTTCTCCTTTAGGCTTTAGTTATACAGACATCTTTTTATGTTGAGTTAATGGCTGTTATTCAAGCCTTAGAGATGCCTTTTTGTCGTGGTTGGTCCTTCACTTGGCTTGAGTGTGATTCCTTATCAATAGTTGCAAGTTTTCAGAGTTCCTATTTTTCTCCTCCTTGGCAAATCCGAATTCGGTGGTTTAATTGCTTTACGAAGCTTCTCTCTATCAACTTTCATGTCTCCCACATCTACCGAGAAGGCAACCAAGCCGCTGATACCCTTGCTAATCTTGGATTGCTGCAAAATGGATTCACATGGTGGGATAAACCTCCTGCAAATGTTCATCAAGTTCTTTTTCAGGATACATAGGGTTTCACATCTTTCTGCTTTGTTTAGCTTGTCCCGGATTTTCTTGTGTTTGCTCTTGTACGTCAGATGTTCTGCTATGAAATTTACCGCTAGATAAGATCCTTTATCTAGTGTTTCATAATAATAATAATAAAAAAAAAGTCGTTCCTAAATAATTACATCATCATTAATAATAAAAGTACCTTTTAGTATATATATATTCTTAGAGTTATTATATATTTACTATAAGGGTAGTTTAGTCTTTTATGTAGTAAGGATAGTTTAGTCTTTTACTTCTGTGTACTATCTCATTTTCCTTTTTTGCATTGTATTGTAATTTTCCCTCCTTTTGCAATGAGAAACACGAAGCCTCATTTTATCTTTCTGTTATTTCTTTTTGAATATTTGATTTTTTGCTTTTAAATTATTCACATGGTATCAACGTCACGTTTATTTTTCTCTCCTCTTTGGTTGGGAAGATGATAGGTTTGGACCCCGACTTTACACGCCAAGCGTGAAGGAGGGTGTTAAAAGTTGAATTTGTTTCACATCATTCTAATAGTGGGCTGTTATAGTATATATAATTGGTTGAGCTTCATTCTCCTTTGAACTAGCTTTTAGGAGTGAGTTCTACACAAACTCACTTTATCATGAAATTACAGTACAATGCAAAAGAGGGAAAATGAGATAATATACAAAAGTAATAAAAGACTAAACTATCCTTACTACATGAAAGACTAAACTACCCTAGTAGTAAATATATAATAACGCTTAACATATATATATATATCCCGTATAAGCAAATTATTATCTAGAAATATTTATTATTGTAATATATTATATTCGGGTTTATTTAATTATCATATCACCTAAAGAAATAATAAATCTCTGTTTTTGTTCGCAAATTCATCATAAATTAACATTAATTAGAATCATTACTTGCAATAAAAAAGAGAATTAATTCAGCAATTCATGTATATGACTAGTTCAGAAAATTAGTGGCGGAGGCTTTCAGACTTACCGACCTCCTCTCATCATCAAACACGAAGCATTGCCTTGATGATGAATCAATTGACCATAAATTAACCGCATTGTTAGGATCTCTCTTCCCCTACATATATTTATAAATACATTCCTGAATCTCTTCAATTGCATTCACATTCCATCAACACTAACTTCAATATTCAAAATATCATGAGTTCAGCTGACGAAACCGTTGAAAGTATAACAGCTGAAGCTCCAGCTGCCGATGCATCACGCAAGCAGCCACCGCGTCTGAACGAGAGAATTCTCTCGTCTCTGTCGAGAAGATCAGTCGCAGCGCATCCCTGGCACGACCTGGAACTCGGCCCTGGAGCCCCCCACATCTTCAACGTTGTGGTCGAGATTACAAAGGGAAGCAAAGTCAAGTACGAGCTCGATAAGAAAACCGGATTGATTAAGGTGGATCGAGTGTTGTACTCCTCCGTTGTTTATCCTCACAATTACGGCTTCATCCCTCGAACATTATGCGAAGATAATGATCCTATTGATGTTCTTGTACTGATGCAAGAGCCGGTGCTTCCGGGATGTTTTCTGCGAGCGAGGGCGCTAGGGCTTATGCCGATGATTGATCAGGGAGAAAAAGATGATAAGATCATTGCAGTGTGTGCTGATGATCCGGAGTACAAGCATTACACTGATATCAAAGAGCTTCCTCCTCATCGTCTTATGGAGATTCGCCGGTTCTTCGAAGATTACAAGAAGAATGAGAACAAGGAGGTTGCAGTGAACGAGTTTTTGCCTGCACCAACTGCGGTTGACGCTATTCAGTACTCCATGGATCTTTATGCCGAGTACATTCTCCATACTCTCAGGCGATAGATACGATATTTGGAGGGCCTAAGTTATGGATCCATAACGTCATCGACCTATGGTAACCATTAGATTTAGTATCTCGGATAGCAAATGAGTAATATTTTTTATCCGATACTTCATTGATGATTTTGTTGTATGCATTCTTTTTCTTTTATTTGTTTTCAGATGGAGAAAGGATCCATCGACCGCAATAAGTCGTGTTTGTCAACGATATTTAACAATTTTGAAAATTATATGAACAAAATGTTTTACAATTTTTTTTATTTAATTTGATGGTTATTTATATATGTTTGTTTTATCATTTAAACAGTTTGATGACAAGAAATACAATTAGATAAATTATTCAATTTGAATTTTAGATGATTATTACATGATTTTATCAAACAAAAATAATTTAGCTGGAATTTGATAAAATTATAAAGTTTATTTAAATTTGATACATTTATTTTATATTAAATTCTATGCGTACTTATTTTTATATATATGTTTGGTTATTTATATAGTTAGGTGAGAAGAAATACAAAATAAAAAGTTATTTAAGCTTGCTACATATATTAAATATTTAAATTGAATTTTACTTTTGCCATTATAATTATCAGAAATTCAGAATCATGATTATGATTTTTTATCAAACAATAATAATTAAGTTGGAATGTGATACAAGTATATAAGGTTATTATCATAGATATCTTTAAAGGATCATTTAATTTATCAATACCTAATATTTTAACATATTACAGATCCCTTTGTTAGGAGGCTTTATGTATATATATATATATATATAGTTTTCGTAAAACTAAATTTGCTACACCGAGGTTTGGTTGGTTTCCCATTTTACTTTTGCAAAATACATTTGGCTAATGCAAATTGTTTGTGGGTCTGTATTAGTGTTTAATTCAGAAATCTTATCAAAGATTTATGATATGTGAGTTTTCAGAGGTATTTTTCACTTTAGACCCTAAGGTTCACACGTTTTTTATGGTGTCTTTGTGTTATATAAACAACTAAAGTCCTCATCTCCTAAGTGGGATTTTTGCATCAACACAACTCCGGCATACATCAATAGTATTGCATAAAATGAAAGCATTTATTTAGATTTTTATTTACTACAAACAAAGAATCCCTAGTTAGATTGAATAACTAAATATTTTGCAAATTTAGTTAAAAGTCGTTTTTAAAACTAGAACTCCAAATTTGATTTTTGACCAAGTAAACCAAGTAATCTTAGAAGAATAAGAAGAATAAAATTTTAAATTTTAAAAAATCCATGTTTCTTGTGCATTATTCATTAAACTATAAAAATACATGCAATACAAGTGTAGCAGTCTGCAGTCCAAAGTCGTAAATTCTTACATATCTGAGAATTTGAAGCTTTGATTCATTAAGTCTCGATCTCCATATCTTTAAATTTTTAGCAATCATAGGATCATTGACATAAAATTTACCACTCATATTATATCAATATCATATCATTCCATTATGATTTTAACAGAAAAATAAGACCTGTGTCTTCAAGTTCAACTAATGATCATGTTTTCTCGTTCAATTTTGAAAATCCATTTAATTTTTTAATTTATTAATACTAAGAATATCTTAATAAATATATTAAATATAATACATATAGAAAGGGATTGAGATCAAGGACGTAGTCATACAATAACATATGGGTTCAATTGAACCCACTCAAACTTAGAAAAAAAATAAAAAAATGTTTTATATTTTATAGTATTTACAATTTTGACCTCACTTAAATTCATATTGAATCAACTCGAATTTTGAAAAAAATCAAAAAGACTTTATATTTTATTGTATTTATAATTTTGATCCCTCTTAAATTCATATTGACTCTACACAATTTTATTGTAAATTTATCAATTTAAATATTTTGAACCAACCCACTAAAAATTCTGACTATGTCCCTGATTTAGATACTGTAACTTAAATTTTTGACACTCTTTATGAACAATTCATCTCTGCTAATCTAACAGTTACAAGAGAAAGTTAATAGTAACTACATTTAATATCATATCAATATCTCTCAACACCATCAGGTTGATAAATCACAATCAGACAGAAACTAAGTTCCCACTCACGACCCTTTATCAAGTAATTAGAAGACAAATGTGTTTTACTCTTTTTAGCTTACTACCTCTCATGATTTTTTTGTTGATTTTGCTTTCCTAAGTAGTTAATTGTGTTGTTTCAGGTAGGTTTTTCAATTTTGTGATGTTTACCAGCAACAACAACTAACTTTTATTTCATACTTATATTATTTTAAAATTTTGCATCTTAGTTTACTTATGTTATTCTCATTTTTATATAGAGTGTAACGATCCAATAAATGAAGTTGATGCAGGCAACGACGTGCCCATGAATGATGATTAAGGAGAAGTTCTGAACCTTGTTTCGCAGGTCCTCCCAAAGATAAGCATCATTAAAGATATCAATGCCCTCCTTAAGGCTAGAAGGTAATACTAGGCTCCATTTGGTTCACTATTCTGATGCTTTTTAGAATAGTATTTTGGAAAAAGTAAAGTAAAGTTGAATTGAGTTGAGTTACTTTTACGAAAAAAGTAATTATTAATGTTTTAAGTTGAATAAAGTAGGATTGGATTTTGAGAATATTGAAACAAATGCATTTTTTTTGTTTTTAGGATAGGATAATAGAATAGGATAACGGAAAAATAGTGAAACAAATGCAGCCTTTATGTAGTCAAGTTAACTTAGTTCATGAATTGACATAATCCTTTCTATGTCAACCATACTGATTTCTCATTATGTATATGGCTGAATTGTCTTTGCAAAGATCGAACTTTTGTTATAATTTGGTGTTACCCTTATATTGTTATGGATGCATTGATCTTTCTAATTCTATAATTTATTATCTATTTGTAGAAGTTCTTGATAAGGATAGTAAGGGTTTTTAAACTTAGGATTTATCTTAACTTTATCTTTTTGAATAAAGGGATAATCCTGGACATAATTAAGAGTTATCAGGATATCCTAATAAAGTCTATATAACTAGGCTGTTGTAGCCTATGCTAAAGTAGAATACACTAATAAAAATTATCAGGTGTTTTCGTCCTGATTTCAAGGTATCAGAGCCAAGTTCCTCCGACTGTAAATACTAATGGTGAAAACTACCATGACTAGTGAGAGAAAAGGCATGAGCCGAAGTCCTCCACCTGTTCAAGATTCATCCTCCAGTCTTTCATCCCATCAGATTCCATCCTCCTCAACTATGAGATCTGGACAACCAGAAGTCTTGTTTTCTTCAAGTAATAATGATAATAATTCAATCTAGATCAGTGTTCACAAACTGAATGGAAAAAATTATGTCTCGTGGTCTCAAGTGGTGAAGTTGATGGTTCGAGGAAGAGGTAAACTAAGCTACTTGACTGGTAAGATTAAAGCCCCACAAGAAGATGATCCAGCATACCAAAAATGGGATGTTGAGAATAGTACAGTGATGGGATGGTTAATCAATTCCATGGAATAGGAGATTGGTCAACTGTACCTGTTTCTTCCCGCTACAAAGGATATTTGGGAAGCTGCAAAGGAAACATACTCTGATGTAGGGAACTCCATACAAATATTTGATTTGAAGTCTCGATTGAGAGAGACCAAACAAGGGAACATGACTGTAACTCAATACTATAGCATTTTGGCTAAATTGTGGTAGGAGTTGGACTTGTTCTTTGAAGCAAACTGGAGTTGCTATAAAGATACTGCCAAATACACAAAACTTTTAGAAAAAGAGAGGACGTTTGAGTTCCTTGTAGGTTTGAATAAGGAATTAGATGAAGCAAGGGGTAGGGTCCCAGGAAAAGAATCCATACCTTCTATAAAGGAAGTATTTGCAAAGGTTAGAAGAGAAAAAAGTGGAAAGTGATGATGGGTGAATCAGTAGGATCCAACAATTTAAGCACACCATCAGTCTTCGGCTTTAGTTTCAAAGGGTTGGGACAATCATACTAGGTCTATGGAGAGCCGAGGTTGCAAAAAAAAAAAAAAAAAAATGAGAAAATGAGGAAATCTAGTATGAGTATTGTCATCGGCCAAAGCATACCAAGGCTGCCTACTGGAAACTACATGGCAGGCCAACCAATTGGAAAATTAATAAGGCTGGAGGCAAGGGATTTCATGCAGGGATAGAAGAATCTGGAGATCATCCAAGGTCTATACCATTCAACAAAGAATAGTTGGAACAGTTACGAGAATTATTCAATCAGTCCAATTCTAGTTCCTCTGATCGCTTTTGTTCATTTGTTGAGACTGGTAATTCCCTCACAGCTTTGCAGACCAATGTAAGAACAACCAGTTCTTAGGTTATAGATTCAGGGGCCTCGGATCATATGTTAGGTAACTCGAGTGTATTCGTATCCTATAACCCATGTGGTAATCTGAGGGTTAGAACAGATAATGGTTCTTTATCAAAATTAGATGGTAAAGGGACCGTCAAATTGTCTGAAAATCTTTGTCTACAATCTATCTTTCATGTGCCTAATATAGCTTGTAATCTCCTCTCTATTAGCAAATTGACTAAGGACTTAAATTGTGTGGTTATTTTTCTTCTTCTTATTGTGAATTTCAGGACTCTCTCTTGGGGAGGATGATTGGCAATGCTAAAGAAGAAGGAGGAGTACTCTACTTAGTCTACTATTCTATTGCCAAGGATTCTGAGAATAATCAAGCTATAACATCTAGGTGTAATTCTGTCTCTATGTCTGATAATTCAGAAATAATGTTGTGGCATCACCGATTAGGCCACCCTAGTTTCCCTTATTTACAAAGATTGTTTCTTGCGTTATTCAGAAATAAAAATCCAATATTATTTGAGTGTGAAATCTACCAAATTGCAAAATATACCAGATCAATGTTTCAAGTTAAACAATACAAGAGTTATAGGCCATTTTCTATAATTCATAGTGATATTTGGGGACCATCTAGAGTTAAAAATATTGCTAGATCAAAATGGTTTATTACTTTCATTGATGATCACACTA